TAATGCTTCTTAATACATACATAGTATTTTACTTTTCTGGGTGGGTTACTGTGTGCTTCAGAGACCTTCCTGTGGTTTACTCAGTCTCTGTGTTAGTGAAATCTGAAGTTTCCAAGAGTTCCAGGACAAGGCTAAGGGGTAAGTATACCATTGAGTAAGGCTGGAGAGTTTATTAGTTCTTGACATCAATAAATTGTTTTCCTGTCATGGTTTCACTATGACATGGTACACACAGATTTTTGACTTTAAAGTGTCATAATCACTACCGTAGGAAGAATGTTTTGTGGAAATGATACAGTTTAGTTAGAAAGTTTCCAGCTTTCTGAGTGACTTTACTAAAAGAAGATCTCTGAACTTGGGACAAATCTTGGCATCTCCTCCGCCTCACCTCTCTGCTAAGGTTCAGCTGTCTCTGTAGTTAGTCTTGACTGTTGTCTCAAATGTGTCTCTAGTAGTCAAGAGTGGTTGGGGCCACGGCTGCACCTTTCTCTATGTATTTAGCATTTCCCCTAAATTTACCATTTGAACTCCGGCAAAATAAAATGCCTCAAAAAAAAAAATAAATAAAAAAATAAAATAAAATGCCTCAAGTTGACTTGTGTCATTTGAAGTTTGTTTTGTCCAAAACAAGCTTCCCTGGTGGCTCAGATGATGAAGAATCTGCCTGCAAGCTTGAGGCCTGGCTTCGATCCCTGTGTTGGGAAGATCCCCTGGAGGAAGGCATGGCAACACACTCCAGTATTCTTGCTTGGAGAAAAGAGGCAAGCTAGCTAGAATACTAGCTGAGCCTAGTATGACCACCTCACCTCACTAGTAGCAATAACAGCCTCACTTAGCCACGTCTCCTCAGATCCATTTATTTATCCTGAGAAAATAAGAGGTGGTTGCTTTTTAGGTTTGCTCATCGATTCTCAGGTTGGTCATTTTTTTTTTCACTTTTGAAAGACCATTGAAGAATCTATAGCAGGGGACAATTATGTTGCAATTTTATTTTTGCTACAAACTGAAAACACTTTGGCACAGCTACTTACCTATTTCTGTTTTCCTTAATACAAATAGAACTTTCAGCTTAATCTAGTAACATCAAATAGAGGAAAGCAAAAGAGCAGTGCCATTTTGTTAACTTTTTTATGTGGAGTCATATAATTTTTCAGTGACATTTGGAGACACAGCTATCATATACATAAAAAAGAAAAAAAAAAAACCTGTCTACAAAAATACTGCTTGTAAATGCAGTAGAACACTCTTTGTTGTTGCTAATTCGGCATATGAAGAAATAGCCCAATAAATGGAAACTTACTTGAAACCAATAACATATTTGATTCTTCTCCCCCGACCTTTGTGGGAGAGTGATTCTCAACCCTTGATCCCTTTGGAAAAGCACAGATAGAATCATTAAATCCCAGCAAACCCTTCACAGTATTGTTAGTTTCTAGAGCATATGACCGCTTTGGACATTTAACAGTTTTTATCTGCATAGTGTCCTTACATGATGAGAAATTTTCCTTGATATTTCTTAATTCTCAGAGATTCAGCTGGCATGAGTCTTATGATGTGACTGCCGCTGTACAAATGTAGAAAGAAACTGAGGCAGAAGAGGAACAGTTTCAACAAAAAAATACAGGATGTTTATATTTTTTCTTTCAGTGAGTTACACCAACCATGCTGGAAGGAGAATTATAATCCAAAGGAGTGACAGTACTGTAAGTATTCATTATTTTTTATGTTGTTTTAATTCATACTTGACCAAGCAGTTAGAAAAGACTGATTCTAGATTGATGAAACACATAAATAGGTATCTGTACACAAATACACAGTCATACTTGGCTTTAAAGCCCCAAATTTAACCCTTAACTTGATAATACCTGATGCTTTTGCAAGAAGTATGATGGTGGCTCTCTTGTATATTTCTGGAGCAGTAACTGCCTTTTATATTTTGGTTTATTTTTAATGCTAAGTACAAAATTGAAACATTTAGATATATTTAACAAGTATATAAACTGAAGTTAAAGCCTTTGAATAAGACCTGTCAACATAGAAGTAGACTACTTTCAGCATTGGAGATATTTGGATATTGAAATCAAAATGGGAACCTAGACCCTGGATAAGAGAACTTACTACTAAACTTACTTCACTTTTAAATAACACAATAAGGTTCCATAAAAGATACTTTCGGAAACTAACACAATAAGGTTCTCTAAGAGATACTTTCAGAATCACATCAGTTAAAATGTGCTCTCACTGCACTTTAGCTCCAGATTTGATTTTAATATTTTCATTGGTTTGACCATTGCCTATGACAGAGCAAGTTGTATAGTTGGTACTCAATAAATATATCACAGAGCAGAGTCACTTAAAGAATCTTTCAGTTCAGATTATCCGAGTGCATAGATTCACAATTAATTTGGAATCCTGACAGAATCTTATCAGTTTGAATGTGTGGAACAGTACCAAAAGGAACAAGTACCACATTCTTTCTATAAATGGAAAAATCTTAAATACGTATTTCTTATAAATTACCACAGTTAGTGGTAATAATAATAGTTTGGATAACGAATGACTTTCAGTAAATTTACTCACTAAAAGATACTGAGGAATATATTTAATAGTTCATGTGACTATTGTATATAGCAGTCCAAATAGGTGTTAGAATGACGTCCAGTCTCTTAAGATATCATAAAATATTTACATGTTTACAGATCTCTCCAAGCCAAATCAGGTTAAGCAGCTTTCAAAAGGCAGAATTGGTGAGAAGGGGAAAGAAGTGGTTAAAATTCTATTAGTCACAGCCTCTTGTTTCCAGTCTGTCAATGTGGTAGTTTCTAAAAGCAGTGACTATTCCTCTGAATATCACTTTCATGCCTCAAGATAGTTCTTAATTCCTCTAGCAGCATCACTGGATACTTACCCCTCCAGAATTAACAACAGTCAAGGTTTCAGGGAAAGCCTTTTTTTTTCCCCTTCCCCACACCAAACCTGAGCTTAAGTATCATTTATATGAGAACATGCACATAATCTTCCATCATTCCTCTCTCAACACCAAAAAGAAGTACTGATTATTCTTAGAAAAGATTATTTTTTATTTAATGCAGTGAATAGTCAACATTACCAAACATCTGAAATTTGATAGAATGAAACAAAGAGAAATCAGTCATCTGTTAATGGTTACTATCCATATCTGAGGTGGTAGAATATCAGGGTTGTAGACGTTTGAGTAGACAGTGTCAGCACGGAACATAAATCTCACACAAAGTATAATCAAAAGTTACTTCAAACAGATTATACTATCAGTAAACTTTCTGTAATAACATCAGCTTCATGGAGAATAATGTCTTAGCAACAAATAATGATGGTATGTGGACATAAGCATGTCATTATAAACATGATGCACTAAATAGAACATACTGAGGTCAAGGCCTTTCTGTAGAAAGGGAATTTAATTAACATTCTTTTAAGCATAGTGTAATAAACAGATCAAAATAGTTCTATCATAAGAAATAGTATTTAACAACATAGCTTTAAAATAAAAATGCTTTAAAAATCAACTTTGAGATTAAATTTATTTTTAAAGTGTCTTCTTTTAAAGTGAAATATATATTTCTTGCTCTAGCTTTTCTACATTTTTCCAGCATAACCATTACCTTTACCCTATCCCAGTACGTTGTTAATAAATAGTACAAAACACTTGTCTGCAGCAATATCAACCAAACTTAGTCCCCTACCAAGTCAGGGAAGTAAGACATCCTCACCAAGTTTTCTCTCTAGAGGTATACTCCCTTGATAGATCAGGAAGCTAGGTATAAAAACTACATGAGAGTCTTGGGAATGCAGTTTTTAAGTATAGATTCTGTGGCAATAGTGAAACATTTTTAAAGGCAAACTTTCCCCTCCCCATAAGCAGTTTATTTTACAAAATAGGTTTTCATGCATTCTAATTTTCAAGAATGATTTATTTTTTTCTAAAAATGAATGTAATGAGACACTGGCATATCACTTAGTACACTGCATTCTCCTCTACATTAAAATTGACACTAATAACAAAAATCATAAATGCATTAAAACATTTCAGCAACCTAATGTGAAAGTAGACATATTTTTTTCTGTGAAATACTTGAGTATTAAATTTTTTAAATGCACAGAGGCATAATCTGACATCAAACCAATGTGAATTTAATTTGCTAGATTTTTGACAACTGAACTGGGTTGCTAATTTGCTGACTTGGTACAAATTAATAGTGGTTGGTATAAAAATCCTTATAGGCAATCATTTATAAACATGGCAGTATTTTTTGTATCATCCTGTAGAGATTTTAAAGTTTTAGATGGAATGATAGAAGATTTGAAAATTTTCTTTGTAGGATTTCAATGTATGGAAAATTCTCTTGTTGAGGTGACTATACTTTCATTCATTAGCTTAAAACCAGCCTAGTCATAGCTAAATAATGTGCACAGGAATGAATATCAGGATCTGAACCTATGTAAGTTGAAATGCATCTGTTCCATTATTCAAGTTCTGGGATTCCCCCCTCCCTTTTGAAATGTATAAAACATAGAAAACTGTAATGGATTATTTTTCAGATAAAAAATAGTCACATAAAAAAAAAAACTTTAAATTCAAATTGACATTTACATTTTATGTAGATTTAATCAGAGCACAGCTGAGCATTTAATCTAATATTCTAGTTTTTCCACTTGTAATTAGAGAAGTATGTATCTCCCAATGTTAACCATTCTTATATTTGTTATTCCAGTGTTATATTATTATCCACAGCTAGCAAGGCTTTTAGGCAGCAATAGCTAAACCTTTATCAAACTGTTTCTGTACAATGGAAGTATATTTTCAAAGACATACGCCTTTGTACACTATTTACAAATTCTCTCAATCATGATAAAAAGGCAAAATAAATAAAAAACAGAAAGGAAGGAAGTGCTGCTGAGGCTGAAGGCTTTTTCTTTTATCCTCCCAAACAGATGCTGGCCTCCCCAGTGCTGGGAGCTGGCTAGCCAAGATTGTTTTTCTTCCTTTTACATGGGCTATGAGAAGGATCTGGTTTCAGTTCTTGGTATTGCACCTGTTTAAACAGAGTTCAGAGAAAGGCTGGTCAGGTGGCCACTTTCTGGCAAAGGAAGGAAAAGCAAAGGAATTGAGAGCCTGTGCTTGGGGGAAAAGTGCTCACTCTGGAAACTATATGAGACCTGCAGCTGGGATGCCGAAAACAGTTGAAAGACAGAGCAAGAGTCAAGGGAAATCTTGCCAGAAACTAGATGAGAGCCCTGATAGGAACTTTGCTAACAGGCCAGGATCTCCACTACCCATACACCCATACACACGTAACATTAAAGGCTGAAGCATCTCCATCTATTTTGCAGGGCCGAATAATGGTTCTTTGCAGTTTATTACGTGCTTGTTTAATATAGGCTTCCTCTCCATCCAGCCCACCTTCGGGTCAGATACCAAATCAAAGACTCAACAGAAGCAAAGGAAAAAGGTACTGTTGCAACCCAGCTTCAATAGTTTGAATAAAAACATTTCTCATTTTACTCTGAAACTATTTAATGATTAACGGGCACTAATTAACCTCAAAGGATTAAGATATGCCCCCATTTTCAAAAATCAGTTACTTTTGTATGGCTGAGTCAATCTGCTGTGCACAAGAAACTATCACAACATTGTTAATTGTCTGTATTCCAATATAAAATAAAAAGTTTTAGAAAAAAATCAGTTACTGTCCCCCCCCCACCACTGCCTTTATTGATGTCTAAATTAGCCATCTTTAAAACTCACCCAATTCATGCAATTTATTTAGGGAAGTGTTTTTCTCATTATCTGCTGGCACACTTTGCTTTCATCATCTAATATTCCTAATTCCTCCTTCAGGTAATGGTGACTTCCCTTCACAAATTCCAGCTGAATCTTCCTTGGAGGAGGACTGCCCTCCCTCCCTGACACCCTGGTAGGTTCTGTATGCAATGCTGTCTCATTCCCCATCTTCTCTATAAGTTTCTTGTTGGATAACACCCCAACTGGACTAATCCCTGAGTGGCAAAATCTTCTACAGGCTTTATTAACTTTACCTGACTCTTCTAAGACCTTCAAAATTAAATGGATATGAACATGAAAACCCAGTGCCACACTACATTAAAAATGATACAAGCTTAAGAGATATTGCAGGTTTATCTCCAGACCACCGCAGTAAAGTCATGTGAATATTTTGGTTTCCTAGTGCATATAAAAGTTCTGTTTATGATGTATGGAAGTCTGTTAAGGATGCAATAGCATTACATCTAAAAAAGAAATACCTTAATTTAAGAGTGTTTCATTGCTTAAAAAAAAAAAATGCTAACCATCATCTAAACCTTCAGTAAGTATTAATCTTTTTACAACAGTAACATCAGTGATCACAGGAACATAACAAATATAATAATGAAAAAGTTTGAAACATTGCAAGAATTACCAAAATGTGATACACCCACAGTGAGCAAATACTGTTGGAAAAATGGTACCAATGGACTTGCTCAATACTGGGTGGCCACAGACCTTCAATTAGTAAAAAAGCAAATATCTGTGAAGCCCAATAAAATGAGGTATGCCTGCAGTAATAATTAATAATGAAATCTACATACCACTTGCACATCTGAAGGGACTCTGGAAAGGAAATCGAGTAGTTCATTGTTATCAATTGCATACGGATTCCGAAGCTTTTTTGTAAATTTATTGATTCCTGAAAAAGTGACAGATCAAATATTATTGACAGCAATATAGTTTGGAGTCCAAAGGCACATTTCTGGCAAAAAAGTATTGTGGTGATTTGAAGATGTAGGTTATGCTGCCTTGATTTCAACCTTGACTGACTGAACCAGAAAACCCAGTTTTCTCCCTTCCTTTCCTCCCTTCCTTCCACCTTCCAACTCAATGGCTGCTCTGTTTTCTCTCTTTGTGCTTCAGTGGCTTCTTCCCAGCAGGAAAGGCTTTCTATTTGGGAAACAAAGGGCACAAGCAGTGATCTATCTTGCCTTTCCCCTCAAATACTTAGAAGCTTTTTGTAGTTTTTCATCTATGATAAAACTTGTCTACCCTACATTTTGGATTGGGATTAAGGCAAGAAGTCTGACTTACTGGTTCCCCCTTTTCAAAAGATACTTTTTTTTTCAGTGGTGGGGAAGTGTTGCTGTTATGCAAATTCATGTTTGAAAATGCATGACCTGGTGTTTTGTTTTTTTAATTTTAAACTGACCTGGAATTAGAAAATGTTTACCACCAGCTTTTTTAAAAAAACATAAAAAGCTTTGAAGATGGTGACGCATAAGCATCCTAAACCCATCTCTTCCCACCGACAAACGGGATTTACAGCTGCATATGGAACAACTGCCTCTGAGAATAACCGGAGAACTGGCTGAGTGATGTCTGCACGCCAACAACGAGAGAAGGCCCGCCTTGAAGCAGGTAGGAGAGGCAGGGGCACAGTCTTACCATAAACTCCACTCTTAGCCTAACAGCTCATGGTCAGAAGGGCTCTCTGAGGAGTGAGGGTTTGAACCTCCACGAGATGCCCTCAACTCTTAAGAACTGTACCTAGAGGGGGAAGCCTCCAAAACATCAAGCTTTTTTTCCTTCTAGTTTTGAGAAATAATTGACATACATCACTGTATAAGTTTTAAGGTGTACAACATGATGGTCTCATGTACACATATAGTGAAGTGATTACCCCAGTAGGTTTAGTTCATATCCATCATCTCATATGTTGATAGATAAAAGAATTTTTCTCTTCTTCTATGAGTTTGAGGGGAGTGGTATTTTGCTTTTTTCCCTCCCAATTTCACATATAAATCATATAGTATTTGTTTTTTTCTGACTTATTTCACTTAGCATAATGCCTTCAAATCCATTCATGTTGTCACAGATGGTAGGATTTCCTCGTTTTTTTATGGCTGAATAATATTTCATCATATACCACTTCTTCATTCATCCACCAGTAGACACTTAAGTTGTTTCCATGAATCAGTTATTGTAAATAATGCTTCTGTGAACATGGGGGTGCAGATATCTTTTGGGGTTGGTCTTTTTGTTTCCCTTGGATAAACTCCCAGAAGTGTAATTGCTGGATCATATGGTAGTTCTATATTTATATTTTTAAGCCATCTCCATACTGTTTTCTGTAGTAGCTGTACCACTTCACGTTCCCACCAACAGTGTATAAGGGTTCCCTTTTCTCTGCATCCATGCCAGCATGTTATCTGTTGTCTTTTTGATGATAGCCATTCTAACAGCCATGAGATGCTATCTCATTGTGGTTTTAATTTGCATTTCCCTAGTGGCTAGGGTTATTGAGCATCTTTTCATGGACCTGCTGGCCATTCATACATATCTTTGGGAGTATATTCAGGTCCTTTGCCCATTTTTATGATGATTATTTTGCTCTTGGGTTATATTGGGCCTTTATTGGATATTAGCCCCTTATTACACATATGGTTTGCTAGTATTTTTTTTCCCACTCTGTAGACTGTCTGTTCACTTTGTTGATGATTTCTTTAGCAATGCAGAAGCTTTTTGGCTTTATAGAGTCCCACTTGTTTGTTTTTAATTTTGTTGGTTGTACTTTGGATGTGATTTTCAAAAATTGTTTTCTGCTAGAAGTTTCATTGTTTTAGGTCTTACAGTCCACTTCAAGTTATTATTTTCGATTAGTATAACATAGGGGTCAAGTTTCATTTTTTACCTGTGACTGTCCTGTTTTCCCAGCCCCATCTGTTGAAAGGACGGTCCTTTCTCATTGAGTATTCTTGGCTCCCTGGTTAGATATTAGTTTACCATATATGCTTGGGTTTTTTCTGGGCTCTCAATTTTTGTCTCAAAACACATAGCTTTGAAAACCAACTTGCATGTTTAGACTTACCCTCTCCAGGACCCAGCATGTAAGCAGCTGACCCAGAGGCAACCACACCATTTGTGGGAAAGGATCATTTGCTTCCCTCCAGGCACTGAAGGGAAGTCACTTGGGGAAGACGTCTGCTTGAAATGTTCAGGAGCCTGCCTGCTTGAGGGACAGAGACTGACAGCCATCTTTTTTTTTCTTTTCTTTCCTGGCAGGAACCATCTCTCCCCAGCTACCTTGCTCCAGCCAGTTGGTACCATCTTCATGCCCACCCTCTGCCATGCTCCAGAGCACCAGCATCTCCCTGAGGGGAGCTGTCACACATCGGGTGCCTGAGGTTTTACGTCTATGAGGCAGTTCAAGATGGCAACCTAGGACAATCATTAACTCACCTCTTTGAGACAGTCTCACCATAAACCCCATGCCCAGTGCAGCTACCCAACCATCAGGAGGAAGCTCACAAGCCCAGAGCTTCTCTCTCAGTAGCCAGGAGAGAGTAGCTTTTGTACACCACATAAGGCACCTCAGCTTTTAAGACCTGCATCTGAGAGATAGCCCTCAAGGCACCTGGCTTTCAAAACCAACAGGCTTGCAACCATGGAACCCAGAGGCCTATAGTGAAAGTTAAAGAGCTCGTGAGCACTCACTCATCACAGGACCCAGCACAGAAGCGAAACTGTCTGAAAGGTGCCCAGGTTCTATGTGAAGAAAGTTCATCTACTAATATTAAGGTGTTGGCCAAAGAGGCAGGGACCTGCTGGGATACTCTCTGGGGATGGAAGCTCCTGAGTCCCATCTTTGAGCTCTCGCTGCACTGCACTTCAGAGCACCAGCATCTCTCGGAGGGGAACTTTTACCCCTGTCTGGTGTCCTGGGTTTTGTGGCTGCCACCCAGGGGGATACCACTTGAGTGTTTGGCTCTGAAGGCTAGGGGACTTGTATTCCTGGGTCTGTGGAACTATGACATTTGGAGAGATGGTTCTTGGCAGACCACCACTCCCAGGGAACCAGACAACAGACTGAGACACATCCCCCAGTCTTTCCAAGAAAGGGCCTATTAGCTTGTCTGGGAGCTTTGGCCTGAGGGGCAGGATTCTGGGCTGGCCCACATAGAGGAGCCTATGGAAGGGCTGTCAGGAAACAGTGGAGGCTGGAGGATGCAGTCGTTGCCTTCTCCAGCCGGCCAGCATCTCCCAGAGCCTTGTCTGGTGCCCCAGTTTTTGCAGCTGCTCTCAGGAGACACCCCTACATCCCTAGTTCTGGTGGCCAGAGGGGCTGATGTTTGCAGGTTCTGAAGGACTGTGACCAATGGAGAAGAGAGTTCCGACACCCTCCGGGCACAGCAAGAAGTAGAGGCCAAGGAGCTCAGCCTGTCTATGAAACAGGCCTATAAGCGAATGGCTGCAGCCTGAGGGGCAGGCTCCTAATTAAACACACATCCAAGGGCTAACTGTGAGCCCTTCTAGACACCTCAGAGGGGCTCCCTTACGCATGTCTGGTGCCCCAGTTTCTGCATCCCCCCCCGGGGGATGCCCCTCAACCACCTGACTCTGGAGGTCAGGGGAGCTGGTGTGCCCGCCTGGGTCCGCTAGAACTGTAACACCCAAGAGACGGGTCTCAGCAAGCTGCCCCCACCAGGGCACTGCACAAACGGGAGACTGCAGCACACCCCCAGGGTTTCCATGAAAGACGCCTACTTGCTTGTCCTGGAGCTTTGGCCTGAGGCGCCACTTTCAGGTTTGGCGCACATCTTAAGGCCTGCGGGGGGACGCTCAGGGAACAGAGGCCAGGGGTGCTGTCATCACCACTCTCCCTCAGCACAGCTCATCAGTGTCTCCCAGAAAAGAGCTTACAAACTCACCAGAAGCCCCAATTTTTGTAACTGTCACCCAGGGGACACCTCCAGATCCTCTGGTGGCCAGCTGGGCCTACACTTGCAGCCCACTGTGTGTATTTGCCTTAAAAGCTGCAGCCCACAGGGCTGACTCTCAGTGAGCCTGAGTCTAGGTGCTGACTGAGTGCCTCCTGTTCGAGACACTGACAGGTCTTGGCGCATCCTCTACTCCTGAGAGCTGTTAAAACAGGCTGCCCAGACTGTCAGAAAGGTCTGAGAGACAACTACGAGCCAAAGCAAAGTTGAATGATCTCCACAAGACCACGACTTCCAGGCTGGGAGGAGAATCTCCAACATAGAGATTCAAGCAAGATGAGGGATATATTTCAAATGGAAGAACAGGATAAATCTCAGGGGGGAAAGTCCTTCATGAAACAGATGTTATTTACCTGATAAGGAGTTCAAAGTCATGCTCATAAACATGCTCACCAAATTCAGGAGAATATGGATGAACACAGTGAGTACGTCTACAAAGAAAGAACAGATGAAGTACTAAATAGACACAGAGCTGAAGCATAAACTCATTGAACTGAAAAATACACTAGAGGGATTCAACAGCAGGCTAGATGAAAAAGAACACAAAGGATCAGTGAAACATACTAACATTTGCACTATAGGGAATCACAGCCGAGAGAAAAGAGGGCAGGAAAAGTGTTTTAAGAAATAATGGCTGACAACTTCCCTAATCTGGGGAAGGAAACAGACATACAGATCGAGAAAGCGTGGGGAGTTCCAAATAAGAGAAACCCAAAGAGACTCCCATCAAGACATATAATTAAAATATGATGAAAGCATCAGGAGACTAACAACTTGTCATGTACAAAGAACCTCCAGAAGACTGAGCAGATTTTTGAGGAGAAACTTTGCAGACCTGAAAGAGATGGCATAATGTATTCAAAGCACTGAAAGAAAAAGAAAAAAACTTGCAAACAGGAATACTACTCAGCTAAGCTAT